ACGAGTTACGAGCTACGCACTCAATAGTTCGTTTAGCATCCCTATAAGGATGTTCGATATTTGTTTATATGGCTACACACACGGCACATCCACGATCCGCAAAGAATGCACGGCGTATGATAGTACGGAACGAGTCGCAGAGCGTTTTTAAGCTAGGCTAGTTCAAAATAGATATATATATATATACATATATATTTTATATATATTCGCACACACCCGATCTACAACAGCGAAGTCGAAGAGCTGAGAGTTCGGCTTTGGTGCTCCGATGCTGACGAACAACAGTGCCTCAAATAGTTAACAACACCGAATTTTAAAGCCGATTTTTATGAACACTCGGCCATCCGCTCGGCTCGGCTCTGTCTACGGCTCGTTGGCAATTCTTGGGCTGTGACGAGCGCTGTCTTTGGGATCGGGGCAGCGGTTGCGTTGGCTCGCTTATGTGTTTTTTTTTTTTTCATTTTTTTAAATTTATTTTTTGTATTTTATTCATTTCGGCTTAATGCACGACGCGTGGCTGAGGCTGATTTTGGGAATAATATTAAGTAAACCGATTTAGATAAAAGCGGCTAAGTAAATTGTATGTAACCGCAATTGAGTTTTCGTGAAAAACGGTTGTTGTTGCGGGTGGAGCGGGGCAGAAGCCATGAACCGTCATGAAATTAGCATTTAGCCATGCACTCGACGTCTCGTCTATTTGGCCGAACTCACGTAGGCCTCTTCAGGCCCGGACTCTCGCGACAAAGTTGCCCAACAACATTTTTTTTTTTTGTCGTTTTCTTTACTTTTGTGGACTCTTCTTATCGGCCCGCTCGCGACTTTGGCTTACTCAACAGGGTCGGCAATTTCGGTTTCGGTTTCGGTTTCAGTTTTAGCTGCAGGTCATGCACTATCCACCTATCGGTCAAGTTGAGCGCGTTGGCTGCTTAACTTGCTTAAGCTGTCATTTGCTGTATTTCATTTACTTTTTAATATGCATGCCAACTGGCTAATAACAGCATTTGACGCTTCAAATTCTTGATTTACTTCAATTTTATGTGGCACACACGTATTTGCGCATTTATGCGACTGCCGTTTCTCGTGAAAGCGGGCGCGTGTTGACTTAAACAACCTATTCTAATTTCAAAGAATATGTATGATATGTGTTGTACCTTAAATGTACGCACATATTATGTGCTTCAGGTTTTCCATTCCTTCTCAATAAGGCGAGGATTCCTCTTGAGAGGACAACATTACGCGATGGTACACCCAAGAGAGAACTAGGGCCATTGGCTAACTCATATTTCATCCATCCCAGATCTCGAGTTTCGCATTTCGATCCAGATCCACCAGATCCTCTATTTTTCTCTGTAGCCTCAAGGACTTAGTTACTTAAGCTTCTCTACAGAGAATGTTTAATTAAATATTGATATGTTACTATATGTATCGAAAAAGTAATAAAAAATAAAACGGTAATTCTTGTTTTTTTTTTTTAATAACTTGAGATTCATGAATACATACATTTCTTAGCACAATCTTATGAATAAAATTAAATAAGTTTGCAACAAACTTATTTTAAAACAAAATTTGAAAATTGAAGGCGCTCTTTCGAGACGTTTCCACATAGTTTCTGTTGTTGAGCTGTCGACCTGTTTTTTGGTTTTAATCTTCACAGTTTGCTGGCGATTTTTGGTCTAGTTACAGTTCTAAAATAAGCATTTCATGACCAAACTTAATTGCTGTTTAATCCGCGTCAATATTTGGCCACTCACAAAGTGACAAAAGTCCGCAAAGACTCAAGCCGAGGCCTCCAACTGAGGCAACACAATCTTAGCAGGCTTTTGGGCCAATAACTATTTGTATTTATTTCTTGTGGCGCGACAGTACAAAATAAAAAAAAACAAAAATAAGAAATAGAAAAAAAAAAACTGTTTACAGTTTTCGGTCAGATGTTTATTGTTGAAATGAGTTGTGTCTAATTTTGTTTAGTGACGGCCACTAAAATTGTTTACTATCTGGACAGACGGGCCCCGACTGTCTCTAGGTGTCAAAAGGCCCACACGATGAGCTGTCATTTTGCAACCTGCTGCAATAGCTGAAGGTCGCCAAGTGGCAGCCAAATGTTGCACACAGTGTGGTTGAGTATGCTCTCGCAACAGCCAAGCCGCACATAGATCTACTCTACACTCTACTGCCAACTGTCAACTGGCAACTAACACACAACTAACTTAACTAGCCGTCGGCTGTGTTCAACCGGTTTGTCTCCCGAGTTGGGCGGCATTTACAAGTTCACGCATGTGCGAATTTAATAGTGTAATCAACATTATCAAAGCATTAATTTGCGGCACGTGCTCACGTGTGCGTAGCACAAATATTGAATAAATGCTCATTAAATGGGGCATTCAACTTGTTTTATGCACTTGCTGAATGAAATATCAGCTCTCTGTGTTTTTTTAACTGAATGAAACTCAATTTATAAAAATAAGAGCAGGGTATATAGAGGACGTGCCTTAAAAGCAAATTAGATCAAACCGAATAATAATATTAATGCTAATTTGGAAATATTTAGCCAGTTTGCGATGTTAACTCTTGTGCCACTGTGCAGCACATTTAGTGTATGCAACATCAACATAAAATGTAACCCCTTGAAGAGGTCTTAGCCTTCCTGAGTGTAATTGAAAGGCTGCCAGCAGTTAGCAGCTAATGGCCATGTCGCTGCCAAAACACTTAATGACTTGCAGCATTAAAACACAAAAAACAAAAAAAAAAAAAAAACAGAAACTTAAAATGAAAAAAAAAATAAATAAAGAAACAAGCCCCATCTATAAGATGCACAAAGAATCGTGTTGAGCCAACAAAGCAGCCAAGGTGAAGCCAAGAACATTTGCGAGTTCTTGAACCAAGTCAATTAACTAAAACAATTATGAAACTCTGTTATTTAGTTAACTCACAATTATCAACAGCGCCTGTTTAACCTTTGGCATGACATCAATTTCACTCTGTGATTATACCCTGTACCTGTTGCAAAAAATGAGTATATTAGTTTGCTGCAGTAGGAGGCCGCACAAGGGTTTGTCGATCATCGATAGCCCTGCTTACTGCCATGAAATCGATAAATATCGTTTTTGAGACTACGTTTTTGAGCATATCTGGCAACCTATAATAGCTAGAGCCATTAAATGTTGTAAATATAAAGGTAAAGATGATCAGATAGTATATACGAATCCGGAATACGAATACCTGCTCCTTCGCAGTGGGAATATCATGTCAAAGTAAAGCAGTTTCATCGTTGGCTTGATGCCCGCTCGCAGCTTGATATAGGGTATCCTACGCTCGCCTAATCCTACAGATTTCTCCTTTTTATTATGTAAAATGTTGTGTTGCTTGAACTATTTGTAAGGCAAGTTAATTGAAATGCGGCCCGCGGGACGTGCATAAAAAGTTTTAAACTAAAATTGCAAATGCACAGATCACTAAAATGACAAGGCAAAGGCTGCATTTCCAAGTCTAAGGTGCGTGAAAACCTAATTTAGGCTGGATCGCTTCAAGTCAAATGCTTATGTAAATTGCGAAATGAGACACAGCCACAGGAAGAACGCGATGTCACACGTTCGAGTCAACAATACGCATCAAATGTGCCGTGTAAATCTGTTGAGAAAAACAAACACAGCGCACAAAAGGGTTGCAACAAATATATACAAATGTATAAACAAGCTGGATGTCGCATAACAACTTGTGGCTGTAGAACATGTTTCTTGATTTTAAGATTATCCAGCACACAATCATCAAGCATTCATTGGGTTGAACGATCCAAAAGGTAGGCCAGAACAAATAAAATCCATTAGAGCTCAATTAAAGACACGATTGTTACACGCACACATATGTGCACACACACAAATATACATGTGTACATACATTCACACATACATATATTTGCAGAGAGTCATAAAAAGTACCCAAAGCTATGTAAAGTTAAGGCCATGCGTGATTCTATTTAGGTACCAAATCGGGTACATTCCTTTGCATAATACTTTGAGCCAAGTTAAAGCTTGCTCCGAGCAACAAACCATTTCTTCTTCTTCTGCTCGTCTAACATAAAAGATCAATTTGGTAATCGAGTTTTATTTAAACTAAATTTAAGAATATTCAAAATGTGCAACCCTTTTTTTCTTATATGTTTGACTTTTTCCAATTTTCTCTAGAACTTAATTAGGTTTGGTTTTCGAGTAACCTTTTAAAAAAAAAAGAATAAAAAATAAAACTCAAAAGAATGCAAAAATGGGTAAAAAATGGAGTAGCTGCCCGAGCATATTAGCAAATTGATCACGTGCCAAAAACCCGCGTTATATACAACTTTACGTCTGATATTATTCTTTCCCAGTTTTTATTGGCATCGTTTCCGTATACGCTCCGTCTTCGAGCCGTTGCTGGGTGCTGGCTAAGAGCTTGCCAAAAAAAAAAAAAAAAAAAAAAAAAAACTACTATTTTCATTAACAACTCGATCATGTTTGGCATATGGATATAGGGTTCAAAACCGCATGCTGTTTAGAATTCAGAGGCGGATCGCAGACAATCCGCAGAACCTGATTCGTGTTTTAAATATGTATGCACATATATATATATTGAGAGCCTGGGCCTATGGTAGCCAAGCCACTTAGAATTTAATTCGGGATTTCTAATATTCAATTTTTGATTTCTTGTTATGTTAAATATGCACGAATGTCTGTGTGTGTACACACAAAAATACAAACAGCTCAGCTCGTCTAGTTGTGCTCGCAGTGAAGCAAAAAAATACTAAGAACTGTATTGATATTGATCGATGGACAGCGGCCCTTCAAGTGTCTGGACTAAACCAGTTGGGCCAGTTACTAAAGTTAACCAAAAACAAATACATGCAGAGGACAAGGCCATAGCTAAAATATCTGGAGTATGTCCATCATAGCATTTAATGGCACTAATATTTAGGTTTATAGCCAGTTTCAAGATATTCCACATTTGATTTATTGCTCAGCATTGCGGGATTCGTTTGACAAGAACAAGTTTTCTTCTTTTATTGCGGACCTTGACATTGGTTTGAACTTAGAATTAACATTTAGAATATTACATAGAATATGCATAAATTATATATTTAAATAAGGCAACGCCGCAGGCTTTGCTATCTAAAAAATTATTATTTATTTCAGTCGATTATTACAGGCCAGAGGCATTGGACATGGACTTGTTGGGCTACTTCCGCCCTTTGTCTTCCGCGTATCGAGCAAGCGACCTGCAAATGTAACTGTAAGGAATCCAAAAATTTGAAAATAAATAAGATAGCATATTCAAGAAGTGGACTCGACTACTACGAAAATATGTAAATGGATACAAAGTCATATAAAAAGGCCAAAGTCGCGCAAAATCGAAGTTCACCTCGCTGCGTCATGCGGCCGCAGCCCCAAAGAAGAAACCAAGCCGAAAACCCAAACGAATAAAAAAATGAGAAGAAAAAAACATTTAAAAATCGAAAACCCATCTATTCAATTGATTGCTGGCTCAGCTGTTGGTTGATTAAACATCAGGAAATACAAAATGCAAAGCAGCCAAAGCAAACTGTAACAGGGCCCAAAGAAAAACAAGTTCTCAGGCCAAAAAGCAAACGCCGTTGATAAGCAGCCAATATACAAACGTGTTCGCATTAGACCGTTGCACGAAAATCGACAAAACAAAAAAAAAATAGCAGAAAAAAAAACAAAAGCAATAAGCAAAAAATATTAAAAAATCAAATATAAAAAAAAGAGACCCAATAGATTAGTTAATTAATGCGTCTCCATGGCAGCCACTGCGTCTTCGCAATTCGCATTTGCATTGACATTGACTTTGACCGAGAAAATGAAATCGAAGCCAATGCGGCGTATACTTGCTGTGTGCATGCTTCTTCTTGTGCATGCGTGTGCGTGCAAGTGTGTGCACGTCGAAGTTTTGGTTGCGCTACAAGCACTGGACACGCTATGGACAAAGTGTGCACTTAATATTTTTTTCATATGCAAAAAAGAAGAAAAAAAAGAAACAGGAAAAAACCTCAAACAAGTTGTCGGCGTGTGATTTGAATTTAAGGCAGTCAAATTGCATTTCATGGTTCAATGCAAATATACATTGTATTATGTAATAGCCGGCCCTGAGCACGTTGTGGTTATAGTTCTCATGTTGACAACACTTAACACTCATTCATAAGCACATTTACGCTGGGTACGCACCGTCGAGCAGGCGGCCACCCAGCGTAAATTGTTGTAGCTGCAGCTGGCGTATTCATTGGGTCAAGTTTAAAATGGCCCAACAACATGTTAGAAAAATTACTCAAGACTAGATCAAAAAACGGCATTGACCGTCTTACTTAGCTACCAGCCAATGGCCATAGCATAATACATTATAAATAGAAGAGTTTTGATGCGATAAAACTAAAGTCAGCAGGTTATTTGCAATCCGTTTTTTTTTATATTTCTTTTTAGCATGGGGTCGCACTTTTGCCGAAACTGTTGCTTATGCTAATGCCGCTAATGCTGCTGCGCCGGCGCGGCATTGTTTATTGTTATTTTCTGTATTTCCTGGTTTGTCAGTTTCGTTGACGGTTGAACATTATAATCGATAATTTGCTGTGTATGAAGCGCTGATACAAGCATTGACCTCAATATGTGAGTGTGTGTGTGTGTGTGTAAGCGTTGCGCATCCATACACATTTTTTTTTCTTTTCGATTTATAAAATTATTCTTTATTATCTGTGTTGGAAAAAGCTTATCACAGTTTTGGCATTAACCAATTTTGATTTAACGGTTTAAAGTTCAAATGGACAAACGAGAGGCGTACTATCGTTTTGGCGATATTTTATAGTCTCTAAAAAGAATACATTTTTGTAATGTTCTTTTTGGTTTGTTGTTCATTACACCTTACAGCACCTGACGAAATTTCAAATTAGATTTCAAAATATTAAACCGATTAAAATGACCAATATTGGCTGTAACGGTTTTGCATATAACAAAAATTCTAAAACGATTCTTTCGTTAACATCGATATGCCAAAAACTATCGAAACTAGGGGAGCACCTGGGAGCTTGCCAGACCTTTTAAAATGTAATAAATTGTTATGGACATTCGGTCACACTTGCACCCTTATCTCACAAATGTTGCCAAATTTAATCTGCTTTGTTTTGTAAACCACTCATATTGCTATATAGTATTTTGAAATTAAATTGTTTCTTACGCGATCGGGCATGCGGAATATGCTCTCAATTACAATTCGTGCACAGCCAGCAACAAAGCAATGACCGTGCGCGGCATAGAAGCCATTAAATTGTACATGCCGACGTCAAAGGCAGACGCAGCAGCAGCCATAAAAACAAGCATACGAGAGGAAACGGGTAGGGCCATAATAGAACCTGTTGTTAACAAAGGTAACGCCATGACATCTGTGGAGCGATATAGACAGGAATGGACACAATTGCTGGCCAATTTGGATGAGAACCCAGAAGCCTTGCGCTTAGCTGCCTTCAAGGGGCAGCTGAAAATGTCAAAGTTTCGCAGCATCCATTGGGCGCTCCTGTTGCGAGTGTTAAACGCAGATCATCGCAGCTGGCACAGCCAGCGTGAGCAGCAACGCAGCCGGTGAGTCGAGAAGTGCATGCTTATTGCACAACAAAACTAATAAGATCTTGTTTTTGCAGATACGATAAGTTTCGTATGGACTATGTACGTAATCCTCACGAACTAGTGGGACCCGAAGACGATGATCCATTATCGCAATCCACACAGAGCATCTGGAATCAATACTTTAGCGATCAGGAGCTATTCGCGGTCATACGTCAGGATGTGGTGCGCACGTTTCCGGGTGTCGACTTCTTTCGCAAGCCCCTCATACAAAATGCCATGACGAACATACTCTTCTACTATGCACGCGAACATCCGTATATGTGCTATCGCCAGGGCATGCATGAGATCTTGGCGCCCATTATATTTGTGCTCTACAGCGATCATCAGTCGATGTTGCACTTCAGCGAGATTGCCAAGACGAACATAAGTGAGACATTGTTGAATGTGCTGGATCCGGCATTTCTCGAGGCGGACACCTAGTGAGCTATGCACTTGGATTCATTTTAGTCGCTGAAATCATCTCTTTCTCATTTTGATAGTTCCATCTTCTCCCGCCTAATGTCTTCGGTGGAGTCGTACTACCGCGTTACCAGCATAGTACCCACACCCGACGGCCACATGGAGACGCAAACTTTGGACGAGGTGAACCATTGCAATCAATTTCTTGTTTATTTCAAGTATTAATTGTCGTCTTTACAGTTCTCGGGCGCTGACGCTGAGCCGCAATCAGAGGTTGAGGTTATCAGCCAGCTGAATTTCATACGTGATAAAATACTGGCCAAGCAGGATCAACATTTACATCATTATCTGCTCAAAATGGAAATACCATTGCATATATTTGGCATGTAAGTGGCCGCCATTGAACCACGCTAAAAATCTCAACATTTTCCAATTATCAGCCGCTGGCTGCGCCTGCTCTTTGGGCGCGAGTTTATGCTGCTGGATCTGTTGCTGCTGTGGGATGCCATCTTCGCGGATAGCGATCGCTTTGATCTGCCCAACTACATACTGGTGGCCATGCTCGTACACATACGGGATAAGCGTGCGTAATGCCTTAGATCCAAAAAGCCGCTGCTCATCCATTTGATTTCTTGCAGTTCTGTTGAGTGACTACACGACTTCGATGACATATCTCATGCGCTATCCCAGCCATGTGGATGTAAATCTGGTGCTGCGACATGCCTTGCATATGCTCAATCCCAAGCAATTCGAATACCCAGCGAATGCGTTCTCTTGTGTTTCCTTTTCAAGCAATTTGCCCCCAGCCGGTGCACTCGCATCTGAGTCACAGGGGACCAATCAGCGTGTGCGTACCAGCTCCGAAAGTTCAAATGTCGCCAGCGGCAGCCACATTGATCGCCATATCACCTACATGAAGGCCCGTAATGCTGAGAGCTCCGCCGCATTGGCCAAGCTACAAGATACCAATCACGTTGCCATGGATGGCTACCTAGCGGACGTAAGTTGAATGGATTTACTAAATAATATTTGAAGGCAATCCATGTTTTCTATTCCAGAGTCCCGAGCTAATGCGCCTGGAGCTAAAGAACGCACAGACTGTCATCAAAATAGCGCGCAGCAAGCTGTTCAATTATTTAATCACTGTGCGCCAGCACATGGGTAAGCAGGGCAACGAGGAGCTGAATCGCACTCTGGATGGCATTGAAGAGCTCTGCAGTTTTCTCGATGTCAAATTCGTATTCCCCCTGCATGCGAGCACCGCCCCAATTGACGAGGCACTGGAGGCCAATGAGCGCAAGCAATTGAATACGACTAGAAGCAACAGCGCCGTAAGCACGCCGGCAATCAACCAGATGCCGCTGTCGCCGCCCGCTTCCAGTGGTTATGAGATGCCTGAGAATGCTTTCATGCACAACTCGACACGAAGGCTCCTGGGGGATCGCCGAGAGATTGAATTGTCGACCATCACCAGCGACGAGAGGCCGGAAACAATGGTGCTGCAAAATGGTTTGCCCGCGGCTGAGCCGCAACAGCGGCCGCAATGATGCATTGCCGCCGCCGGCTGCCATCGACTGAATATGCTAAAACTAAGTGAACAACTTGTGAATCCTTGATTAACCTTAATAATTCATTTTTATTTGTATGAATTACAGCAGTCATTACAGGAAATAAACGGATGCATACTTGAAGTGCTGAAATACTTATAAATGTATAACTGAACAATGTCAAAATGTTGTGTACTGTTGCTATAAGTCTAATATATAACTTAATTAAGATATTTTTAATTTAAACATGACAAAACTGATTAGTAAACTTAACTAGAGTGCAAACCATATCAATCAAACAGCTCGTATAACATTTGCGAACCCATTTAGGGTTTTTGTAAATTACCATTTTCGTACTGTGCCGAAGAACACAAAAGAAAAAAATATCTTTCAATTATAGACTATCTGGCATTAGTATGTGAACAAGATGATTGACTTGAGTCCATTTAAATTTCGCGAAATCAGGCAATATATACTATTAAAATATGTGATGCAAATCTTTAACAGAATATGTAATTCACATGCAAAGCGAAATTTGATTTCTAGACAGCTTTTGTTATGCTGGAAAACAGTTGGGGGGAAGGCGTAACTACTTATCCTATTTTTATATTAACGAACCCGCCTGCTGATCCTTATGGTTGCGCCGTTCTGTTGTTGGCGGGCAGTTGTCGCACCACAGCTCGGTTTGCACTCAGTGCCCGCAGCTGCGCCTGTGCTTGAACCTGCACCGGCGTAAGAGCTGTGCTGCCACCACCGCTCGAGTAGCGCATGGGCAGTTTCTGCTGTTGACTGACCTGGTGCGGCTGCACCTGGTGATAATGCTGTTGCGACTGCTGCTTCTGCTGTCCAGAGTTTTGGAACGTTATTAGCTTGGTGCTAGTGCCATTGTTGACTCGAATTTTACGATACATGGGCGTGGAGCCACCGCTACCGCTGGACGTGCCATTGCTTAAGTCCGAATGGACGCTAGAGTTGGAATTGGGCGGCGTGTGCATAACAATTGAATTGGGCGTACCATGATTCGACTGCTGGCCGCCACGCTGCATCAAGGGCGATGAATGACCGGCGCTATTCATGCTGTTGCGTACATTGCTGGGATTTGCATTTGGTGTGGTCAGCTTGTTAATAGGCACAATGCGCAGGGCATCCGAGGCGTCCGGTTTGGAGGTGCCAACCTGCACGGAGGAGGGCAGGTAGCGACGTATGTTGAGTGGCACCTCCTTGACACGCCCATTAACAGATGGTGCTGCCGAAACAGTTACGGTTGATGCGGGTGGACTCGGATTGGTACGAATAGTAGGGCGCTGCTTGGGCGTAACGGTCAACTCGGATAGATTGCCCGCTATATGGTTGTCGTTAGACAATGACTGTTTCGACTGCGCCGGCGAATCGTCCATCAAATCGTCAATGGTTATAGATGAGGATACTGACTCAGGCGAAGCGGGAGGCACATCCAATACCTCCTCAAAAGTCATGCGTTCGGAAGTTTGCGTGGTTGAGCTATTCTCTGCAGTTAATGACGCTGTTGTTTCATTTACCTGTGGCGCACTTCTGGTCTCCGCTTCCGGTTCGGCGATCGTGGGCACTGAAGCGTTCCGCTGCATGCCACGCAGTTCCAAGTCGCAAACAATCTGCATAATTTTGGCCTTGCCCTCGGCTGCTAGATCCCCAGGCAGGGTTTTCATGGTCTGTGTTATGCTCTCGAAGAACAGATCTATGGTATCGCGTGGCTGTGCAGCAAAAGAGTTGGACTCCACGTGATTACGTGACGCTGTGGCAGGTGATTCATTCTCACGCTCTAGTGTACGAAGACGCGACACAATGTCAAAAGAGGAGCATATCATGTCCTTAGCCATATCCAACTGGCTGCGCTCATCGTTTCGCTTGCCCACAGAGTCGCGCAGTACGCGCAATATGCGACGCACCTCCAGTGAACGACGCATTCGCTTGGATGGCGGCTGCTCCCCAGTGCTGTACTCTGATCTAGAAAGAAACGGACTTCAATTAAATCGATAGCGTACAGTTGCTGCATTCATTCACTTACTTGACGCTTAGGGCCTCATCGCTCTCCTGGTCCATATCCATTACAGATGCGGCGGGTTCCGCAACATTGACTGTCAGTGAAGTGACTCCGCTGTTATTTCTAAGTCGCTCCAACTGCTCGAGATGCTTGCGTGATCCATCGTGCTGGCGCAAATAGAACAGCTTGATGGGCAGCCGAGTATCGCATGTTTTGCAATGGCAGTGATTCTCATCTATGGCATCCGGCTCCAACCAATCGTATTTGGCTTGCAATTCTGCCATTGCTGCCTTATTTTTCGCCTCGCCTGTTGCCAACGCTGCCGTTGTTGGTGTGGACGCAGACGTTACATCCGTGGGTGGCATGCGTGCTGCTTTCTTGCGCTCAAAGCGTAGCCGAACATGTCGCGTGCTTCGCTGATGCTTTGAGGCGTACTTAAAGCTGGGCAAGAAGACAGACACCTCGCACAGCTTACACCAGCCGTAGTTGTGACGCGGTTCGCTACGCTTCCAAGAGAGCCATGGAAAGCGATCCTTCCAGACCATCACTTTGCCTTGCATAGTGGCAGGCACGGGCTTGTGTGCAGCTTTGCTGGTCACTTTGGGTTGATTTGTTGCTTCGGAGTTATTGCCCTCACCAACTGCTGCTGAATCACCATTGCTCTGCTCCTCGTCGTTTTCCTCCTCGTCCTCGGCGGCTTCACCCTCTGCACCCTCCGTATGCTTTTTGCGCGCTTCTTTGCGGCGTGCTGCCTGTCTCACCTTATACTGATGTATTAGCCTTTGGTGGCGAGCGCTTTGCTCATGACGAACCTTGGCCCACTCGCTGCTAAAACGCACGCGACAAAATTTGCACTGCTGAATTTTGCGATCCCTGGAGTAACGCAACCACCAAAAATGCCGCACCACGTGCTTGGTCTTGCGCGACTCGCCAGTCACTTCTGTGGGTCTGTGTTGAGAAATAAAAGAAATTCAATAACTACTGATACTGCCACAGACAAAGAAAGATAGAAGGAGAGTCATACTCGGCGGAGCTTCTGGGCGTCGTGGAGAGCTTGTCATCCTCGTCAACATAATCGTCGTCGCTACCCTCGCTTTGCGCCTCCGACTGTTCCTGTTCGCTTTGTTCCTCCTCGTCGTTCCGTGCTTCTTCAGTTGCAGCAGCAACTGAGGCTGCCACCGCAGCCAGATGCTTCTCTGAATTTTCATGAGTTTTGCGTTTGATCTCAGAATGTCCGTATATGAAGCGCCTGGAGCAAATATGACAGTAAGCCAGAGTGGGATCAGTGGGGTCGGCCACTAGCCAGGGATGCTGTTCCGCATACTGTGCCCAAATGCCTCGATTCAGCTTAGACCTGACGAAAAGCAAGAATTTATTAAATTACAAACTAAAGCCGTGAATAATTATTTTACGCACGACTGAGTCCCCTTGTGTGCAAATAGATTGCTGCAGTGCACCTTTGTCTTCAAGTGACGCATAAAGCTCGTTATGGCCATGCGACAGTCGCAGAGCGTGCAGCGGCATTGCTGCGGATTGGTATCTGGCAACAATTCACACCAGTCACTGGGATCCGTGGACTCTAAGCCGGCGCCAACGATAGTCATAACGTTTGAGTCTTCATTTTGAGCTTTCGGCTCCTGCGCCGCATCAACTGAATTGTCCTCTTGGCTTGCACTGCGCTTGCGTTTACGCGATGACTTCTCCTGATGTGTCCGCTGTGCCTCACAGTGACCCTTGCTGGTCTCGTGCCGCTTGCGCAAGTAGACAAACTCAACGTTCATACGCACATTACAGTACTTGCACAGACCAATGGTGCCCTCCGGCTGGATTCGCTCGAGCCACTGATGCCAATTTAACCAGCGCATCCAATTGAAGTTGTTTAGCTTCTCCACTTCGTTAGCACGCTTTTGCTTCATGGCGGCCACATAGTTATCGGTGCCGAATTCATGCTTGACCTCATGCTCACTAGTGCTTGGGGAATGGGAGAAATGGAGAATTATGGAGAAGGCATCTACCAATAATAGCTACTAACCCAAACCGCGCATAATCATCACTATTCTTAAAGGCTAAATAGTTGTTCTCACGCTCCTGGTGGTAAAGCGACAAATTGTGCTGTTGTACATGCTTGAGCTTCTTATTCACATTTATAACCACATTGCAATAGAGGCAGAAGGCGTAGTCGCCGTCGCTCTCCTCGTGCAGCAGCCAGGGCCAGCGTTTCATCCAAATCTGCCAGCGCTCCCTGCGGCTAATGCGACGCGAGCCACTGCTGCTTGCCTCATCAGCGCTTTCTTCCTCATCGTCATCGTCCACTTCCTTGCTTGAATCAATTCGTTCCAGCAGGCCCATAGGATCGGGTCCATTGTAAGAGCCGGTACTTTCAATGTCACTGCTGGGCTCTGTCTTTGTGGACGCTTTCTCATCCTCCAGCGGATCCTCTGTTGATTTGTTCTCGTGCGCATTATCAATTAATACCGTCGGCAATTCGGACACTGAGGGGTCATTGACGACTTCCACATCGTCATCGTCCAGCTCAATAGTAAGTGTAGTTTCCGCTGTAACTGCGCCCTCGACATCCAATATTTTCAACTCGTGCTCGACCGTCTTTTCTTTATTTATCGGCGTTGCGGACGACGACGCCATTTTGTTGCCAATGCCGGCATCGTCTGGCTTTGGTGAGCAAATCTCACCAGTTCGTCCGTTTTCCGATTCCATTTCTGCCTAAGCAGAATTTACTCTCTTTTTTTTATAAAAAGCGAGTTTACCGCTGTTCACACCATGCGTTTAAAATGCAAAAAATTACACTTTTAAATTAAATTGAAATCGCAGAAATTTGCACAGCAGCCGAGGAGCCAGCGTTTGACTATAGGCATCGATTGAAAAACATTCGATTTTGCGAAAACTGAAAGCGCATGACAAGAATTTATCGATAGTTCAACAACGAAGAAAATTTGAAAAATATCGCATTTACTTACACTTACAACACACACATTTATTACCTCAATTATGTCAACTTTATATTTGTTGACTATTAAATGCTAAAAATACCCCGATTTTTCAGTAATTAATTATTTTCAGCAATGCTCATTCTCAATCTTGGCTAACTCAGCTATCTAGAGTTGGCCGATAGTCTGTGTACATATCACCAGTTTCTATCGATATTTTTAGTTTTCAGTTTTTAGTTTTTTTTTAATAGGGTCACACTGTTACGGCGTTTGTTATTGTTAACTTGCTGATGCATAGCATTTAGTAAAGTTTTAAGCAACATGACGATTTTTAATTTGTACATATTTGACAAAATGGGCACTCTGATGCATTACGCCGAGTGGAACCGTACCAAAAAATCAGGCATAACCCGTGAGGAGGTGGGCACCGTTCTACGTCATGTTAACAAAAACCGAACGAGCAACAACAACATTTATTTTTTGTTTATATTGTCAGGAAGCAAAGCTTACATATGGCATGCTATTCTCCATCAAGTCCTTTGTCAGCAAAATATCACCACACGATCCGCGTGAGGGGTTTCTCTACTACAAAACAAATCGCTATGCTCTGCATTATCTGGAAACGCCCTCGGGATTAAAGTGAGTAGTGCAACAGTTGCTCTGAGCTGAGTTTAGTTTAATTGTCGATTTATCTAGATTTGTGCTAAACACTGACACGGCAGCCATCAATGTCAAGGAACTGCTGCAGCAGCTATACGCCAAGGTCTGGGTGGAGTATGTGGTGCGCGATCCACTGTGGACGCCCGGCACAGTGGTCACCTCGGAGTTGTTTCAGAGCAAACTTGACGAGTTCATCAAACAGTCGCCTATTTTTGGTATAAGAAATATTTAGACTAAGCCCACTGTATAGTTAATAGATACGTATAAAACTCCAAATCATGTGTCATAAGCGCACAGCCGCTCCAAATTGTAGTCGTTGGCAGCTGCAGAGGCCTCCAATTATGCCCGTGTTTTAAATATGTACAAATGGAGCACACGACGGAAATGCGAAATGTCCCACAGCGGCATTTGAAAGACGCCGCCAAAACTTGCGCAAGGGCCAGCTTTAAGATCTGTAATTTGCAATTGCATATCATTTTTTCTTTATTTTCGTGAAATTCGTTAGCTTTTCGCATATGACAACTGTTGCTGCTGCCGCACGCGATTAAATCTGTGCGCGACTCGCCCCCAAACGCCAGTTACTTTTAGGCTGGCTCCACTCGCATCAAGGGCTTTGCGCAATCCTCATAACTATGGAAAATGATTTGCAAAATGCCACAGGCTGCGCGCATATGGAAATACCCAGAGCCAAGCGAGAGAAGTAGATGCCATATGCAGAGAAGAGCTAGCTAGACAGAGAGAGAGATACATATATATGTACTATAGGTTCGACTTTGGCTTACGTTTTCTTTTCAAAAAACCTGTCGCTGCAGCACCGTTAGCAACCTTTTGGGCATGCTAATACATATACATACCCACATATGCATGCCTACATACAATCATATTTATGTAAACATTGGTGAATTTATGTATACCCTTGCTATGGGTATTTCAGCTGGGTCACGAAATGTGCAACGCTTTAAATAAATTTCAATTTTGTTGTTATCATCTACATGCAGGCACAAAGATACACGCAATACCTAACTGCCCAAAAAGCGAGCAGATTTCAAAAAAATATAATAATTATGTTAAAAAAAATAAATAAAAAATCTGCATAAGCCATTTTATGGCCAAGGCTTAAGTCTGAGCCTTGGCTCGTCACAGTTTTTCAATTTTAAACAAAACAAATATAAGTTAATTATGTTTATAAATTTTTGTTTATTTATTTTAAAAATAAGTATTGATAGTACAAAAGAAAACAAAAAGAAAATATATAGAATCATTTTTTTTTTAACTTTTTTTATTTTTCCAGATATCTGCAGAGCATTTAAACTTCGGCACAGCAAATACGAATTATTAATTTTGGTGTACTTTTTTTTTTTTTGCTAGTTTTTACGATGTCTCACTTATACAAAATTCACGCAAGTCATCTGCAGTTTTTGGTCTAAATGTGTTTTGTATCTGTTTTATTTTTATTTTTGTCACACTGTCGCTTGGGTCAAACTCGAAACCGGGTTTCAACAGTGCATTGCAAAAGCTGCGAAGACAATAAAAATTGAACCGCAAAGCGGGTTTTTAGGCCTGCGACTTTTCTGTCCTCTAAGATATAGTCATATAGCAGGCTAGTAGTATTTCATAGATACACAAAAACCAAACCTATTTTGAATTAATCAACTGAACTGTCACGTGGAGGCGCCAGCATCTTACAAAATGCCCTTTCCAAAACTGCGTTTATGCATGGGAGTTTTTCATTTTTTTTTCTTTTAGTTTATTTGCATTTATATAAGTATTCAGATTTATGTTTATCAAATACAGATACCGGTTGGTCGGAGTCGGCAACTTCTGCTCGTTGACTTTCAATTTGCTAGCTGGCTTTGATTTTGCTTATCGCGGACACGATCACGATTACAATAGGTTCAGCAACCCAATTAGCCCGGGCTCGAGCCCGTTTGAACCTAATGTTACGCTCTTTCGCTTTTTTGTGCTATGCATTTTGGTTTCCCCAATTTGTATGCCCTTGTGAAGGGCATGCAATGAGTAACGCATAGCAGGAGACTTCTCCGACTCCATCAGGTACATATATATATATTTTCTAGATTCTGTCTGTCCGATGGCCCGTCTGTCAGTTTCTCTGCGAACTGGTCTCCCAGTCTTAAAGCATGTTGAAACTTTGCATTGATCCGTCTTTCTGCTGCAGGCAGTACTTATGTCGGATGTGGTCGCATCGAACAACTATATCATGTAGCTGCTATAGGGACGATCAGTCGATAAACCTTTTTGTTTTTCAAGATATCTTACCCAAACAAGGGACTTATAAGCTTCATTATGCTCCTCATATATGTACCAAATCTTAATTACATCGGACTACTATATCATATAGCTGCTGTCGGAACAATCAATCGTAAATTAATTTCTTGAATGAAAAACTGTTTTGTTTTTCAAATTATCGTAGCCAAGCTTGGCATTTATGAGTCCTACCATGCTCTCCACATATAAGCAACATTTTATCAATATCGGATCACTATATCATATAGCGGCCATAGGAACGATCGATCGAAAAGTAGTTTCTTGTAGGCAAAATATTTTCATCAAACTCAGCATTTACTATTCGCTTTACTATTCGCAGATATCTGCAAAATCGAAAGTCAAATATCTGCAAGGGTATTAAATCATCGGCGTGCCGCATACTTTCCTACTTTCTCATCTTATTTGATTTGATTTTTTTGGTGGTTTTGGGCTGCGCAAATGTTACGCAAATCACGAACCACTCTCAATGAATTCCATTTTCGTCAACCGAATGGTTTACAAGGTTATTAACGGTTTGTTGGGCCGCAACGACTTGGAAAATGAAAACAAGAAAATAATGAGCACATGCCCTAACATTTCCTCGATATTAAAAAAAGAAAATATCTATATATATATGTATATACGAAATTTATTTGTGCCCTTTTGTACGATTTTAATCACAATAAGCACCTGCGGGAAGGTTATTATGAATCTCCATTGTTGTCGCCTGGGAATTTGCTGTTTAGCGTTATAATTGCTAACTCTGAGCAACAATTACTGTTCAACTTTTCAGTTTAGCTCAATTAAAGGTGAAAGACGAGAGCGGCAAACTATTCATTTAGTTGCTAACTAAGCCCAACTGGCGACTGTGACAGCAACTAATGGCGCCCGCCCACGCGGACTGTGAAAGGGCCTTGGACTAAGCTTTTTTACAAACACAATCTCTTTGCTATTGTTGACCAACAGGCCAAGCTCGATGTCAACTAAAATAATATGTTAATGGGTTGAGCCTAAAATTAGAACTCTGACTGATCGAGCGAAGTGTGCGAAGCCGTTAGATGCTCTGTTCGGATCATGGATTGACTTCATGTATATGAGTTATGGAACTGAACTGGAAGTTGAGCTCCAAAGATCCAAAGTTCTCTTTTGCTGTCATTCACATATCTTGGCCAAGTTTTATGAGGCGTCTGCTTGCCAATTCTAAGGGCTTAAAACACCAATCTGTTGTCTTTGGCCTAAACGTGTTTTTCGAAACTACAAATACATTTGTTAGTCTTTGTTTTGGCTTTTGTGCTAAACAAATTTAATTGCAAACACATTTTATTAGGCAACTTTTGCTGAAATTTGAGTGTTTTCGCTCCACACAGCTCCAACAAGGTAAATGCGCGTGTTTCCTAAAGAACGCTGCCCGTTTGGCCATATAAAGTAGGCGCGCATCGCGTGGCCCTGAAAATCAGCATTAGCTATGCAAAACAATGTATCATATTAGATTTGTAAAACAAAGAAAAAAAAAACAAAAACAAAATCAACAATTTTTTATATGTGGGCAGGGAATTTGATTGGACTGAAAGCGGCACACGCTCGGGTCAGATTAATACAATGTGCATAAGAAATGAAGCCACAAAAAAACTGGACATAAATTAACAGATTCTGAGAGTTTGGATTGTTTCCTAGCAACAGATAAGCGCTAAAAAGAACCCCCTAAAACCTGCTTTAAGTAAGCATAATTTTCAGCAAATTCTTTAGCTAAAGCTTTGGAGTTATTTGATTCTGCGATCAAATCAATAATTGATCTTCATTTGATCTGGTTAGCAAATATTTGATCTTGTTTTGAGCTTTTGATCAAAGTGTGTTTGTCCTTTATATATCTTATATATATAAAATAAACCAGAATCAAGTTAGGTTAATTTTTGGCCAACTTCTTAGCTAGATCTTTGGGCTTATTTGATCCTTTGTTCTATTGATCATTATTTGATCTTGTTATAAATTATTTGATCTTAATAGTAGACCAGCTACGAATTAGCACATTATCTCTCATATCTTTGGGCTTATTTGGCGTTTTGATCTCATTAATTAAATATTAAAGCTTTAAAAGTATTCAAATTTTAAGTAAGGATATTCAACACTCGAGTCTTTGGCTAGATCCTTGCGCTGATTTATTTGTTTCCTTTTTGATCTTTTAATGAAGTGTTGATCTTTACTTGATCCCTTGATCAAATAAATTATCTTCATTTGATCTTGTTATCAACTATTTGAACTTTTTTTGATCTTTTAATTAAATAATTTTTTTTTAATAACATGAACAGCTTTAAGCTAAGATGATTTTCAATAAGGTCATTGGCTCGTCTTTGGATTTATTTGATGTTTAAAAGTATTCTAGCTTCGAGTAAGGATCATCTTTAGTAAAGTCTTTGATCTATTATTGGATCTTTGAAAATATACCAGGTTCAATTTTATTTGCTTGACGATATCTTTGGGCTCATCTGATCGCAACTGTGTTTGTTGGCTTGTCACTAATTAAGACAAATTCGGCTCATGAAGCTCAGGCAACTGCAACTAACAAGGCCCGAGAGCTTTACGCACCAATGACAGACTTGACGCGAACGATTTTTCGGCCCATATTGGTATAAGCTGAAGTAGTTGACCTTTTTTATGCGCAATGGCCAAGAGTCAATGAAGGCCAGACCATGGATCTCGGTCCATACATTGTTAAATAATTCAATTTCAATAAAATTTAATGAGACATGTGGCTGACTGATGGATCGCCCGCCTGCTGCACTGCCAAAGTGCTGCATCAGGAATTCCCCTAGGCGAACGTGAGCCAGGCACAGAACCACTTTTCAAGGTTCTAGGCCTGGCCTACCAGCCAACTGGCACGTAGGCCAACTCGTTGGCGCATTGAGCTCGACGGGCTAATCGATTTGTGCGCAATTAACTAGCGACTCCTGGATTTTAATTCATGCGCTGACTGTACTGCGGAGACGAGGCTCCCTTTGGCTAGACTTTGGCTTGGTTTGACTTGGACTTGGACGTGGACTTTGGCCAGATACGGCCTTGGTCACGTAGGCCAAAGCCTAACGAAACCAGTTGGCAATTACCCTGGGCGTAGTTTGGCGGCTGCATTGAAGATACATTTAACAAAAGGTAGTTTTGTTATTATTGTTTTCTTCTCTGACGCATCTCGCATTTGCATTTTGTCATTTTAGTCTGGGCGTCAAGCGAGCAGCTGTCAACGGAAATTAAGCTGTGCCGCATCTCAAGCGCGTGGGACTGAACCCAGGGGTCAGTGGGTGTTGCTCCAGTTGTGGACCAAGTGAGATCTAACAGTTAAGCAATGCACACACATACATATTTATATATAGGTATATATATATATATAAATATATGTGTACATAAAGTCGACACGTAGGCATCTGATGCATATCTTTAGCTCAGTTTATGGACGGGAATTTCCAAAGGCCCAGTTTTAAGCTACGACAAACTGCAGACTATGATGAGACCCGTTGGCTGTTCAACAAAGCTCTGAATGACAAGTTCTTCAAAAATAATTAGGAGAAAAACAAAGCTCTGTTGGAGCGCATCTAATTCATAAATATCTAATGGATAGCTAATCAACGTCATGACAAATAATTCAAGTGCAGCCATTTAGAATCTCACACGTTGTACAACATTCTGATTCGGAATATTCTTTTCAAATGCATTTTACTTTTCCTTTCACATATTGTTTGCCACTTAAAATGTACTTCACCTTTTGACCATGTAAAGAGGTGAGAGAATTACAAATTTGTCACAGAATGTAGAAAGACACCTTTGCGAACCCATAATTTCTTTATGTAAGGTATATAAGGTATATATATATATATACATGCATCTATAGAACTTGGCATTTAACAACGAGGTATTATATCTTATAACTATAATGCCCGGAAGTATCGTTCAAATAATGATCCTCTGTTCTGTTTTTTCAAGACATGTCTTATGTATGTTTTTGCACATATTATGTATGTTATTATTGTATATATTATTGTATATATTGTATTGGTACTAACTGGTTATCAGCCCAAACTATGGAACTATGCTGGAATACTGGAAAAATCTAGCAATAAGTTCATTAATAGAGTGAAGTACAATTTTCCCAGAGCTCAGGTACCGGCTTTTGGAATGATAGATCCATAATTCCATATAATGTGAATTATTACTTTTTTTTTACTATTTCCCGATTTCATTTATTTTTAGAAAACTAAAAGTCTAAAGAGCCTTTTGGTTTTATTTATTGAAAGCCTTTCGCTTCCGTCCGGACTATAAGCTCGCCTCTATATTTTTGTCAGATAAAGATCCTTAAAAGTTTGGACACGCCCATCAGAAGGCGAGCAAGGAAAATCGAAATTGGTTTTATTCTAAGAGTATGGCTCCTTTTTTAATAGACAGGTTACAGACAAGTTCCTGTAGGTAACTTGCAAATAAAGAGTTCCGTTTCCAAAAATCACAGTTTGAAATTTCCTGTTTTGCATTTACAGTTTTAGAGTCATCAGGCCAATAATCCAGTGCGTGACTTCGATCTGTTTGAAGTTGTTTCTTTATTTATTTTTATTGTTAACTTCAGAAGTAGTTCGGATTGAGCAAGAAATAAGACGGAATCGCATGTATTTTGTAAATGATTTATTTTACATTTTTTTTTGTTGTTTGTAATTTCTTGAATTACAAACATTATTTTGTAAATGTTTAGCTTAAACTATGACGTACCAAGCTAATATGCTAGAGAATACCTAAACCTACGCAAATGAATATATGGTGTATATATGGATATCGAATATGGGATCTGTAAGGGTGATACGAATAGGAATAACAATAAAATTAATAAGAATATTAATTAATTTAAAAGAAAAACGATTATTACCCATCACCCGCCCCACGCCCAAGACGCACAAGTTGCGGATGCTTAGATACATATATCGTGTGTGTATATATACATACATATATGCACATATATATATATATGTATATATATATATAGAAACAGCCAGTCGTGGCCTGCTCCTGGTATGACAAGACCTCGCATTCAATATGAGTTAAGTGTTAAGATTATTAGAACATTTCATGATGTTGTTGTTGTTGTTGTTTTTTTTTGTTTGTTTTGTTTTTCTCATTTCTGTTGTTGTACATTTAAGAGCCCCACTCTTAAGTAAACCGGCAAACACTAGTAATTCACAATCGGTTCTAGCTGCAGTTAACCATTAAACTGCCAACTTTTTTGTGGCCTTCTTCTGCCGCTCGTTCTCGTTCTCGTTCTCATCGAGCTTGGCGCTCTCGGTGCTGCTCGACTCGGCATCGTACTCCAGGTCGGGATCCGGAACCTCAGAATAGTGCAGATGGCCAATCATCTGGGTGCTACCGGGAGCAATAGTTGCCGCACCCACGCCCACCTGTGATGCGTGTGTGCCATCGCCGTATTTCTCCAGAGTGCGACGCACCAGCTCCTTGGAGGGCTGCTTCATGTCCCAGGCCCAGCCAATCCTTTGAAATGTGTCCAACAACATGGTGGTCATGTTCACCTTATAGTCGCCCAGCTCGGCTGCTTTGTAGTCCCAGGGGAAGACATGGTGATAGTTGTGCCAGCCCTCGCCCATGGCCATGATGGAGACATAGATGTTCTCGCTGGGCATAATGCGCCTGTGCCAAAAAGAGAAGCAGAAGCAAACGATGGAATGCTGACAATCATTCAATTAACGAATTTGCACAGCTACTTACTTGTCGTATGGGCGTGAGCCCCACAGATGAGCTGCACTGTTCACGGACCAGGTGAAGTTCAGGCTGAACACATAGCGGAATATGCACTGATGCACAAAGGCATGATACCAGGTCTCGTTCCAGCAATAGACCGGCACCAAAGTGGGCAGCACAAAGCAGAGCAGCGTCTTCAGCAGCACAAAGTACTTCTGATGGAATTGGAGAACGGGATCGGAAACAATGTCGCTCATATCGATTTGCCTGCCACGGCGGAGGACATCCGGATGCTTCAGCATCATCAGCCAGCCGACGTGCGAGAAGAAGAAGCCGCGATTGGCATTATGCGGATCGGCGTCCGTCTCCGAGTACTTGTGATGCACCCGATGATCCCGCACCCAATCGTACATGGTGTTCTGCAACGAATACGAAAACCAATTCGAGTTTTTAGTTACGCTTGAACTACTGACAGTTCGTATAGTCTGGGCCGCCTAAAGGCACGGCCATTAAATATGACAAATGTATCTGTCAGATACATTTTTTGTCTATCTTTTGTGTGGCAGTTGTTGTTGTTGTTGCTATTGTTGTTGTTGTTGTTGTCGCCGCCTTTTGTCAATTTACAGTTTCGGCACAAGTCGCGCGGTGACAAAAAGGCATTAAGCTGTTGTACTTAATGACGCAATTAATGTTAATTACATTACGACAAATTTACTTTACAATTCGCCACACGGCAAAACAAAGAAGCAAAACAAAAAGCACATAAACAACAACAACAACAAAACGTTAACCGCAGGTGGGAAACAACATTAGCGAAACATAAATTAAATGTGTCGACTAAAATGCCCAAATCATATTGCATAACACAGTGCTGTGACGTCATAAGGTCACGCAGCTGAAAAGGTTGAAGAATCTTGGCCGGAGAACGGCTTTTCTAAAGGATTATCTGAAGCATTTAAACAGCAATATAATTTAGATTAAATTAAAAATGATTTTTACATATTTTAAAAAACATTTTTAAATGTTTCTCAAATATACTTTCAGATAGATTACATTTATACATATACATATATATCTATTTTGAGTATGTATACTTTATCTTAATCTATATTTTTTCTTTTCTGTAAAAAGTTTTCTATTAAATGGAATATAAAATAGGAACTTTTCATAACATTATTAAGTATGTTTTTTTTTAAATTTGAATATATGCAATATTTTCTTTTCTGACTAAAACGTTTACATTTTATAACTAAGATCTTTTTTGCAGAAGCCCCCTCTAAGAAAAACTTGTCAAATTTCAGAAAATTAAATATTTAGAAAAAAAGCCTTTTAATAAAATTAAATTAAACAAAAAAAATATTCTTAGTAAAAACAGTTTTCTACAAATTTCAGCAAAATCAAATTGATTCAAACTCTTCAAGTTCAAATTTGTGAAGAAATATCTCTCCAACAAAATCAACGATTTTAAATTTTCTAGTATATTATTTTTAAGCTTTTGTTCATTGTACTTTTTGCTTGAATTTAATATTTCTGTATTCGTTCAAAGCTTGCCATTGCACTAAAAATATTTGTAAAGTATGATCTTGCTTTTCCAAGTATTTGATTGCTTAGCGTTTGGTTTTTTGGTTAAACGTCATATATCTGTACTCACTTATATTTATACTATCTACGTGCTTAACTTACCTGACCAGCAACACAATAGCTGATCATCAGCAGACTCCTCAAGATCTTGTTGGCCTTGTAGCTGCGATGTGTCCAGAAGCGATGGGCGCCCGCGGTAACGCCAAAGCCAGCCACGCCGCCCATAAAGAAGGCTGCAAGACATTTAAAAACAGTATAAATAAGTAAATAAAAATAAGAATAGGCGGGGAGATACTAAATAAACTAGACTCGCCTAACAAACACACCCCTAGCTCCGTCTCAATTGAAAATAAAACCAACAAACGTCGTGCTAATTAGATATAAAAAAAAGTGTACATATATATATAAAAAAAAAAAACAAAATTTAAAATACCAAAATTACATTTTACGGAAATTGAGGCATTTGTGTTATGGTGTTAATTTGTTGGCCAAATCGGTGCACAATAAGCCCAGACGGAAGCTGAGTCGGCGAACGGCATCCACCACAAGGCCAAGGCATGGGAACATTTTTCAAATAGTTTGATAATTTGACGTGTGGCTGTATCTACGGGTTTGTCAGGTAATTGCAGGCTACGGCACGACACGACAGAACACGTGACCCAAGACTGTGACTCGCTAACTGTGACCCTGCAGCAGTCACACTATTTGCATACCCTTGAAGCCCATGATGCCCACAAATGCGGCATGTGCTTGCCAATAATTGATTAATTGTTTAATGATTCTAGAGAAATTATTGAATTGTCACCAAACGATGCCGGATGCAAGTGCATGAATCTGCTTGAATGCCAATTGTATCTAACAGATACACGTAGAAATGTGCCTGCACGCCTACAAGCTATTACTACAATTAACGCGTCGCCAGTGCTTTTCCGCTGCACCGACGGCTAATGACAATGACTAAAACAATAGAGAGAGAAATATAATCAGGCAATGACAATTACATTAGTCGAAGAAGCCAGCGAAATGAAAATAATACAACTTCTCTGACACTGGCGAAGTCGTCAACAATATTCATAGATATTTCGTTTCACAATTTGTACTAATGAAAAATTAACGATTTCTTTGCTCAGCCCTAGCAAACGTGCCACCCCCCCTCCATCGTCCCTCTGCCGGCATGCTGCCACAAAGGTGTTACACACAGTCGAGTCCAACTGAATGAAAGATTAACCTTCAAAAGTTTATTGCTTGATGTTGCTTGGATTGCGACAAGCCAAACAAAAAAAAAAAAACCTGTTTCGAAAATAGCCCCAAAAATGTTGGAACTCTATGTATAGATCATCTATCGGGCTATCTGAGCGCATGCTGTCGACGATCATAACATTTGACCACAAAAATTAAAAGCATTTAAATGAAATTAAATCAATTTAATCAAATTATAGAATGCTGCCAAAGCCTTAGACAATGCGGGGTCATCAAGGTGTAGCCTAATCCAATTCTTTGACAACCAAATGAAAGCATTGAAAATGCAGTGCCAAAAAAAAAAAACATGCATGCATGTGAAATCGGTAAGAAACAAACATGTTGTTTGCTTAATTTGAAAGTCAAATGAAATGCTTAGGCTACATGAACTTTAGCCAGAGTATCGGGGTCCAAGACCTTTGCGCAGTTGTGAAATTGTCAAATGGTTCGATGTGGCCTCCCGAAACTTTGATCTTGCTGTACGCGGGTTCAACGTTTCAATCAAGGACGCAAGATATATATATATATATACAAATATGATATATCTTAAATCTTAAATGCAATTCGGATAAAAACGCATTCAGAAGACTTTACGATCGTATTTCTGATGCTAAAAGATACATTTTTCATCTGGTTTTTCTTAGGTTTTTCATTAGCTGAGCGGGCGTTCTTTTGGTACTGAGGTACATAACAAATTTTAGGGCATTACTATGTACTATATTTGTTATACAATTAAAAATATCTTGTATTTTTATTAGCATTATTATATTAAGTTATTTGATTGCCAACTAAAAGATATCACTCATAATAACCCATACAAATTTTGTAGTTTTCTATCAAAACTTTAATTAACACCGCATTTAGTAGAAACGTGGATAATGGTGCGCATGGTGCGAAACATCTTTTGTATAACATCAACGCCCCAGAAACTAATTAATATCATTACAGTTGCGACGATCGTGTCAAACACGACAAAAAACAAAAAAAAAACGGAGCGAAAAACGTATAAAAAATGAAAAGAGCTAAATTTCGAAACAATCATCTCTGGATCATTGAATAAACGTTGCACGTCGGCCTGTAATTTGCCAAAATATTTACGAGCTGGACACCGCCCTTAAAAGGGTCTAGACAAGTGCGTGTGCGTGTGCTTGCTTTTGCCCCGTGGTCCGCGGTTCGAGTCCAGTGGCCGCCGGAGCAATAAATATTAAAATTTACAATGCACGCATATTTAAGTTTTTTTTTCTTTTTTTTTTTGCTGCTGCTTTAAATTACAATGGATGCATGCGTCCTGGAATTTGCAATGATGCGCCCATATACATGAAAACTGACGATGGGGCGACGCTGCGCAGCCTGTACTGAGATCTCAATGTCAAACGTTGGGTTTCTGTTTAATTTTGGTTTTCTTTTTTTTTCTGTTTTATTTTTTCAATATCGCATGTGGGGAGTACAACTTATGGTGCTCATAAATCGTGTGTATTGAGCCATGGCCCTGGCTGCGACTTACATACATGGAGAAGCTGAGAGCTCGAGTGGCCAAAATGGCGAAGATGCGTCTCGAATTCGATTTCGATTTCGATATTGTAGATTTGTTTGCCTTGGCTGAATGCGAGAATTTTCTAGTCGCATTTAATGCTGTTTACTTACAAACAGCCTTGAGATATATGGGTTTTGGGTGATTCTCTCATTAGCCCCAAATAAATATGTGTCAACTGAATGTTCAATGCTTTTCGGGTTTCTTTTCGTTTCGTTTTCGTTTTCATTTTCACAGTTCAACTGTGTCAGTTAATTTTTAAGCTGAATTTGCAAGCGAATGCAGTTTATGAAAATACGAGTACAGTACAAAAACAAATAAATGGCAAAACAAAACCAAAACCAAAACCCTATAAGCCCGATGTCATATGAAATTTCAATATGGCGAAGGCAACGAAGACAATGCCGACAGCAAAATCAACGCCAGCAGCGCGACGGCGACGGCGACGGCGACAGCGACAGCGCGATGCTAGCGTGGTAGCAGCGTTTGCTGGCTGAGGGAAAAGCATGTTAAGTAGCAATTAATTAATGTCAATAAATGAGAGTTCGACGTGTAACCGTAAATGTAAGCAAAAAAATTATGAAATACTCAAGATGTCCCCACACAAACACACACACACACTTACACACAAGCAATCGGCGCAAGGCGCTCAAAATGTTTTCTACGCGCTTGTGCTCAATTCATTTTTCACGCTCTTCAGCCCATGCGGCTAAATTGCAAATAATGGCCATAGGTGGGCAGAAGAGAGAGAGAGAGAGAGAGTGAAAGAGTGGAAGAGTGAAAGAGTGAAAGAGTGGTAGGCTATGCGTAGAGTTGGAGCCGGAGAGCAGAAATGGAAGATGGGCGAATGTGAAATATGTGAATACGAATGTGAAGTACATAAGGTAACAAAGCATGAGATGACACCACACAAAAATGCTTATATACATATACATATACACATATATAATGATCAGTAATTTCCGAATCGAAGAAACCGCAGCTTGTATTTATTGTTGATGTAACTGCCTGTTGGCAGGTGGGCAGACAGACTCTTTTCGACACCTTTCTCAAAACTCACAACACATTTCCCAATCCGTATGCCCAACAGCTTATATAAGCCCCAATAATGGGTCATCTCGTCCGACTTATACTCACACCAGAGGGTTGAGCTCAGGCGCAGCTCGTTCAGCGGATAGGTGATGAAACAGATGACGGCGACAATGTGCAGCAAGGAGATCTGTATGACTTTGTCCCATTTGAGCGGCGCCTTGAACTGCCAGCCCAGGATATTGTCGCCCTTGAAATTGCGCGTGTACTCCTCCATATTGATTTGATCCTTGGGTATGTGATTGACCAGATGCTTTGGGATATTCCTGGGCGACGGCGGTGCTCCTACCGACATCGGCTGTTGTTGCTGCTGCTGCTGCTGCTGCTGCTGCTTGGGGCGTGGCGCCGACTCCGGCGATGAATCCTCACCGCGACGAGCCTGCACCTCGCTGCTGAGCTTGGCGCGGCGTGTCATCAGCGGGGGACTACCCTCACCTGTGCTGGGCATTGGCGTGGTGCTGCACACACGCTCCGATGTGGACAGGTGGCCCATTTGGTAGCGCTGTCTATGGCTTTGTGGGGGGGGGTGGAAGGGGGAGGATTGTGACTCGGCTATGCTTTTCGGCCGGGCTTTTCACTTCATGCACAATGCTTGGGCTGGCGGAAACCCAGGTTTCGTAATTGCCGCTCCAAATCCAAAACTTTCTTCTTCACAGATTTACACACTAAACAATTTTTTTAATTGCTGTTGAAAGTACGTTTTGTTGGCTTTGTCGCCTGGTTGTTGTTTATTTTTTTTTTTTTTTTTTTGGTAATTTGTTGTTTTGTCGCTTGTCGTTTTTTTCGCTTTTGGTTTTATTTGGCCTCTTGCTTTTGCCGCTTTTAAACGCGCACTTATAACACTCGTCGTCTTGAACGCGGCCCTTTATTTAACTTCTCTTTGTTTTGTGTATATGTGTATGATATATGTGGGCCTTTGGCGTAAGACCGCAGTTTCTCTTTGGGGCTGGGACTCAAGCTGGATTTGGGTTTTCCTTGCGCTCTGACTATCTAACGAACTTAACACGACGCCGTTCCGTAGACAAATGATCGCAGCCAAAACTTAAAATTTCTACCCTATGCCGGCGTTGGCTTTGACGTTGGCTTTGGCGTTGGCGTTGCTGTCGGCGTCGCTGCTGCTGCTGGGCTGACATACCACCAAACTGACTGATTGACCGACTGACTGAATGTTGTTGTTGTTGCTGTTGTTATTGTTGCTGTTGTTGTTGTGGTGCGCACTGTGGACTCAGAAAAGGTAAAGCAAAGACAAAAACAGCAAACTTAAGGCCAAGATTATGCCACGATACAAGCACACATCATAAACACACACACACACACACACATGCACCTGTAACAGCGCCGAACTTCGTTTCTGACTTCGGCACAGGGCTCGAGCTTTAGCCGCAGCTTCGGCTTCGACTTCGACTTCGACTTCGACTTCGACTTCGACTTTAACTTTGGCTTTGGCTACGCCGCAAAGCACAGCATCAGCCGCATGGTCGGGTAATTTTGATTGTTTTTTGTTTTTGCTTTTTTCTGTTGCCAGCTGCGTCTGCGTCTGCTGTATGACAGCTTCGCAGACAATCGACAAGAAGTCTGCTGGCAGCGCGTCTGATTACTCAGCCAAGTTGTTTCCTGTTGAGCATTAAGCAATTGTTTGGGCGCGATCTAAGATACACGTATGTATCCAAACTAAATTGACGCTCTAACAAATATGTTTTTGCATTTTCGCATCAAATAGGCGGCTCTTGTTGACTGGCGAAATAGATTTAAATCATACAGCTAACTATGTCAACGTGTTATCATTGTATTTCTTTGTGCCACAAACGATATTTAACGAACTATAAAAAAATTAAAAAACAAAATTTAAATTATGTAAATATCAGGTTTATCATTCGCCAGCCGATTTCTATTTGGCATAGCTTAGAAAATGGCGACTGTACCCAGCGTCTAACGCCTGATCAAATATAGTGCAAAAGCATTTCACAATGGCCAGCGACTAATTCTGTCGGTAGCCTGTCGGCATTTGCATACAAACAAACAATTTCCCAATCAATCTCTCCTCCCATAAAATCCCAAAAACGTGGCATGTACACACATGCACACACACACACACAAGCACACATATCGTATGGATGTGTTTGTGTTGTATTTAAAATTGGATCCGCAGTCGCAGTTTGTTGTTGTTGTTGTTGTTGTTGTCGTGTGGCCTTCTCCACTTTGGCTTTTTGTTGACCAAAGTCAAAAACCGTTCGATGATCATGAAGTTCAACAACAACAACAACAACAACAACGAAGAAACAAAAACAGCAGCCGCAACAGCAGAGACTGCGTTGCTTTCTCTTTACGTAACGCCAAAGACAAAAGCCAAAAATTAATTAAAAGCCAGCAAAAACAGCAAACTAAAATAAAAAGCGAGCACTAAAAGGAAGCGCCGCAGCTCGGCGCGATCTTAAAAAAAAAATTAAGTAAAAAGTAAAGAAAACACATTCAGCTCGCACGGTCTTAACTATTTCGGCGATTCCCGTGCACTTACGAGACAAGCGACATTTTACGTGTGGTTTTTGTTGTTGCTATTGTTGTTGTTGTTGTTGTTGTTGTTGTTGTTGTTGTTGTTGTTGTTGTTGTTGTTGTTGTTGTTGTTGTTGTTGTTGCTGTTGTTGCCGTCGTTTTTGAGGTTTATGTTGTAAGCTTCACACATTAGCAAAGTTAGCCGAACATCAGATTTCAATTGTCAAAAGCAAAAAGAAATAAAACATCCCTACTTGACCACAAAGCAAAGCTACACTGTGCAACATAAAGAGGGTATGGGCTTGAAAAACATAGGGTATCATTAGGGCAGGCAGAAAAGATGAGCAATGGACTGCTCTTAAACCAGTTGAGAGTTTGAAGCGCACACTTATTATAAATATTTATGTGCATTTAATTGTTTATTGTAACTACTTTAATAAAATTTAATTTTTTTATATTTAATTTACTATGTTTTTCGTTAATATTTTTAATATATTTTAGATGCTGTTTTTCTTTTTATTTAACTATGTTTATCGTAACTACTTGATTGTATTTATGTTCAATTTAAAGAAGTTTATCGTATATAAAATTTCACTTTTTTATTTATTTATTTATTTTTTTTCTTCTTCTTCTTTAAACTTGCGACAAACTCGTCAATATTAAAATATATATTTTAGCTATGGTTTGTACTAACACATTATTGAGATCGTAAGATTTTGATGTAACTATTTATTAACTATTTTTGTTTATCGTAAAGATTTGTTTTCGGATTCATTTAATTATGTTTATCGTTAATGGCACTTAATTAGTTTCAAATATATTTTAATTATTGTTTTATTTGCTTAAATAATATTAAGTAAAATATATATTAAAACAAAATGGTTTTTTAGTTTTGATTCAATAAATGAAACCACAAACCTCGCGCCAGCTAAATAAATATTTGTTTAATTTAGGCATGTTTATCGTAAATATTTAAATCTATTGATTAACGTGCGAAGTCCGCTTCTGAAAACATTTTATATAATAAAATGTGATCTCCACTTTTTCCTTTCTTTTATTAACTTTACACCCAAGTCTAAGACATAATAATTATATAATATCCAACTCTGAATTTCGAATCAATACTCTCTTCTTGTCGATTTGCTAGTATCTAATATTTCTGACTTCTATATAGGCCTAAATTTAGACCTATTTATAACTAATTGAGAACACATTTGGGCATTTTCTATAAAGCCTCACAAGCAAATTCAGCATAGATTTAATAAAACTCGATTCTTTTAAAATGACTTAATAATATTTAAAATAAAACAATGTCAGCACAGTTTCTGCAATGAGGCTAACAAATTATATTCAAGATCAAACAGACTTTTCTTTGACAACTTTACGATCTATCAGCAAATGCAAATTGTGAGAGGATTTGACAAATTATTGCGCTTGCTTCAATATTGCTGAGTGCTCGTATGTATTAATTTGGCCAACACTCGCAAGATATTCAGTCAGTAGCGTGTTTTTTTTTTTTTTTTGATTATTTATTGCGCAGCTTCACGGAGCCAACTTTGCGCAGCGTCAGCGTTTTTTATGAGCTCAAAACAATCAAATATTCTGGGCCCAGAAGAATTGCACGAATCTGAACAAAGCCGATGACTATATACGCATCGTTACCAAAAGTCTGGTCGTACTTTGAGCGCTAACAATGCGAGTAAGCGTCATATATCTGAAAACTAATGATTTCCTTCTTTTGAGCCGCATTTGGCCACAATCAAAAGCCATTCATTCCGGGGCTTTGAGTCGTATGAAAACACAATTTGCCGTCGATTAGTTGGCTAAGGTTCATTTATTTATCTTTTAAAGGTTTTTTTTTTTGTTTGTCTTGGGATTTTCTGAAAAGGCGTCATTTGTTTTTGGCCAAAGCAGCGACTGCTTTTGTTCAGGGTTATAGCCAAAATGCACATAAAACTGGTACTTTTTTATTCGATGCTTAACTGGTCCTTTTATTAGCTGTACATTGGTACTTTTAAATTTCCCTTGTGCCTGTGATTTGGGCATTTACTTGCTCAAGCTCTGGTCACACTGGCAGCGGCCGCGCAAACAGAGCAACAATAAACATTAAATATTAAACATTACACAAGTTAAAGCCGTCAACAATAAATTGCGTATCTGGGCAACCTTCAACTGTCGCTCAGTTGACTATTTCTATGAAAATAAAAAATAACAGCCAACACAAAAACAAATTAACATAACAAAACGCAAAAGTAGGCACAGCGCAAGTGCAATTTGCAACAAACTTAATGCCCAAACGGAGCATGAACAAAAAGCTATCCACACACACGCACACACACACACAAATCTATTTGTGTTTGTGTGTGTTTAGCCTGCCACTGCCACAAAAAAAGTCAAATCAATCAAGAAAAGCTGTCGATGAAACACCGAAGATCAAATACGCTTTAAATTTTGAAAAATGAAAATATGTGTATATTTATATATTTTAAACTAATCTTAAGCAGAGATCTATCAAATGGTACAGCGTGGCTTTCAACTTAGAATATAAAGTAGTATCTTATTAGATATTAATTATATATTTTTATACTCTAGCTATCTGTAAACACAGAATAGTTTACATATTAATTATTTATTTTTTAGACATTTAAGGCGCGTTTTATTATAGTTTTCAGTTTAGTCAATACTTTTCGACTTTATTAGGCAGCTTCAAATTTAAATACAGTTCTTTTTATTCAATTTTTATGTTATTTACATTTTTATAGCCCTATGAATGCCAGATAACTATCAAAGCTTTGTGATATACATCTAATATTCCACTTGATGGGGCCATTAGAAGCTATTTTTTATTTTTAGTCAACACTTTAATGAAAAGTCAGCTTTATGAAGAAGAATTTGTTCGACCAACACACATTGTATATCATAGCTAAAGTACCCCACGAGTAGGGTATTGGAAACAACTGCAAACTTTGCGCCGGCGCAGCTTTTAGCTGGCAAATTCATTAGTAATCACTTCACAGTCATTAGGAATTAGTACAAGTGCCTCACTCACACTCACACACAAACACACTATAAAACCCAAAATCTACAATAAGCAAACAATTTAACTATATAGCGCTTAAATCTGTATATATTCAATAAAAAACTAAATTGGGTTCAAGCATTCTCTGTATAAAAAGGAAAGCGAAAGGAATGAGAATGTGCCGAGTGTACATATGTATATACCTATTGTTAACGAGAGTAGATTTCTTAAGATATGTATTCTATAACTGGTTAATCAGCCCTTAGCCGACACCTCATATAATTTCTTAAACTTATCTTCTTGGCCTTCTATGCAAATAGAGCTATTTCTGAGCATTTATCTGATATTTGATGACCATTATCTATTAAAAGGAAGTCTGACGCGATCTTCAAACGTTTGTAGACAAATGCAAATACCATGTTCGCGCCACAAGAGAACAAAAACGCGTTAATCGGGTGTACTCGACTACATAATGCCCTGAATACCTCAATCAATATAATATTATAGTTTATAAGACCACGCTTAACATTCTGAATGAGTAATACCTCTTAAAGGTCACGAGATATTCTTAAAAACCAAGTCTGAAAATCGATGCTTATCGATATTTACGAAATGGTATGAGATATCGACCAAAAAATTATAGGCTCGTCTAGCACATGGCTTAGTGGAATATATATTTAAAATTAAAAGTCTCTAGCCTTTGTTGTTTCCGAGGTCGCTTCCATCGCCCCTGTAAGGGATAGACGTACTCTATGGGAAAACAGTATACCCTTTTGCATCTCTCTTTACTGGGTATAGGGCAAAAAAAGGCACATTTAAATTTCATTTAATTTGCAATGCAGAACTCAGATTGAAACCCGCCCAGCTTGATTGGGCGCAACTCAAGCGCAAAACCTGGTCCCAAAAACTGTTGAACGAGTCAATATTTGAGTTGGCAACCAGCAGGAGCTGTGCGACTAGAATACCAGGCGGCCTATTGGTGCTACTTAGCTTTTAGACGCATCATAAGCGGAGCTTTATTTCAATTTTTCTCTATTTCAACCAGGCTTCTGTGCGGGCCAAGTGCGTAAATATTGACGCATCAATCAAGCGCTGGGCAAACATTGCGTATTAGTGATAATTTATTGAGTGCGACTCATTTAATTTGCTCAAAGTGCCAGCAACAAAACGACGACCGATCCGCACCCCAGATAAAGCCCCGTCCGCTGGGAAAACCTCAAGCCATTCGATGATGGCCAAGTTAAAAGGCAGACAGAAAAGCAAATGTTGATGTTGAAAATGTCGTTGGCACTCGTAAAACAAATTCGAAAGCCTAATTATAAAGATTTGTGAGCTCTTTTAGGGCCGGTCTTTGGGCTTTTGGGCTTGCAGTTGGTTTAGGGTTCGGGCATAGTTATCGCAGCTGGGCATTGGGCAACCAGATCCGAGCTGCAACTTTGCTTGACAAGCCTTGAAAATCTATTTGATCCATTGAATATAATTAAAATGGGTATGAAGAAGCACAGTCCCATACAGTATATTTTCTGTTCCTGATCCAGCTCTCCAAGCTGAGCCGATCTAGCCATGTCCCTCTGCACGTCTTATATATTTTGACCTATAAGTATTCTCTTAAATCAAACGCAGAGCAAGTTAATGATTTCTTGGCGAAATCTCGTTAAATTTTCATTTTCATTTTGATGAGAATCAATTTTAAACGTTTTTTTTAGGAATATCTTGACACAGATCCAGAATATTCTATTGTTTTAATAATCGTCGCCAATCTTTTTCAAGTTGGCAAAATACGATTTTACATACCCTCTGCCCATTGAAAATAGGTAAGAAAGGGTATATTTATTTTGGGCGCGTCAATCTCCGTAAATTCAAGAGCTAGAGAGAGCTTGAGAAAAATTATGTTTAAGCTAAAGCCTCGTGATATGGTCTATACACTACTCATCAACTTTAAAGTCCAATAAATGATCGGACTATAAGCACCGAATGCATTCAGGAAGAAGCACAGCCGCTGCGCGTGCGTGTGTGTATAGATGCAAGCTAGAATGTATGAGAATATCTACAAGCCGAGCACACCCGAGAAGAATACACTTCTTTTAAATGTGTTTCACTTTCAATGACCGTTTTTATTATTATTGCCAGTTTGAAAATGCTTTTTATTTTTTATTATTGTCAACTACCTGCGACTCACATGAACTTTTCCCGATTGAGATAATGATTGGCTGGCAAAGCATTTTGCTCCAGTTTCACCTGCTCCTCGATGCACTCGACAATGGGGCGCTTTGTCTCGACGGCCAACGTGAGGCCGTTGCGCACCGCCACCGAGGAGATGGTGCGCAAATTCTTGGCCATATCGAGGGCCGCAAAGATGCGTATCATGGTGGAGCCCGTGCCACTGGCATAGTCGCCAAATTCGCCGCTCTGGTAGTCGTGTGGCAGCAGGTAATGGAACTGTGGCCAGAAGGATTTCGTGATGAAGAATATGCTATTGGAATCGGTGGGCTTGAAACCCTTGTGTATGCTCCAAATGAAGTGCGCCGAGTTCACCAGATTGCCCACATTCAGCACAATGAGATTCCTCAGCCAGAAGCCCACAAACGTGGACACGCTGAGCGTTTCGCCAAAGTACTGGAAGGGCGTGTTCACGGGCAGCAGCACGTTGAGCCCAATATAGAGCAACACATAGTAGCTGTCGGAGGGGGTTAAATATCAGTTGGGCTTGGAAACTTCTCGTCCGGCATATGGTTAGCTGCAGGACCTACCGCTTCTGAAACATGACAATGCCATCGTTTTCCATATCGCTCATATCCACATTGAGCAGCAGCTGCTCCTGCTGCCGCGAGTACTTCAGCAAATTGCCGTGGAGCTGGGCATACATGAAGCTCTGTTTGCTGTAATACGGATCCTCGTCCTCCTGGAATTTGGCATGATGCAGTCGATGCGCCTGCACGCGGCTGTAAATGGTGCCCTAGACAAAAGACAATGCATTGAGAAGGAGTTAAATAACAAATATCTATAAGCTTAATGAACTATTTTTAGATACTTTGAAGGTCGTTGCATATCTTAAAATGTAATAAAATGAAATTGTCATAAAAAACCTGTCCTCAACTTGTAGCAACCAAATTTTGCGTGGATATTTTGAAAGGCAAAAGTGTGGCTCCAATTAAAAACTACAATTTTGTGCAAATTATATACAGTATAAATTATATAGATATATATGTGATCTTTGCTTTTAATAAGATGTCAATCAAATATTACGAGCTCGGCACGTTTGCTCTGAAATATGATTAAAGCAAAAAAAAACAATATATAAATTGTATGATAAAAGTTAAATATTTTACGATTGTGTTTTAATCGGGGTTATATTCATATAATATAAGCATCTCGGACCCCATAAAGTGTATATATTCTTGATCAGCATCAATATTCGAACAGAGACTATAGGTTTTCGAGCGATCAGTTTCCATGGCAACTATATGATATAGTATTCGGACTGCAAGAGAAGCAGCTTTGCCAGGCTTAATCCCGATAGCTTCGAGGAGAGTTGCACAGGCAGCAGGATCAGGATATATCTGCTTGGCTATTGATATATCTCAAGAATATATATGTTTTATGTGTTCTGGAATGCCTCCTTCACACATATTCTGAACAAATTCAAAAACCTCGTAACAATTTAGTTTTCTTGTTTGTTTCGTTTCCCACTTTCCCACACAACCGTTTGGGGTTGTGTTATGTGCTTAGGTTGCTGTCTTGACTAAGCGTGCGCAGAGCAAGCTCTGCCGCAAGCTTTTGCCAGTGACGTCTCGTAGAAGGGGACCACTAGACTCACCTGACCGGCCAGCGTCTGGCAGAGCATGAGGAATACACGGAGCGGTACGGTTGCAGTAAATGTGCGATGTGCCCACAAACGATGCACGCCCACCGTCACGCCCAGCATGCCCAGCAGGGTGAGCAGGGCCGCTAATCAAAGAAAAAGTCCAAATCGGGCAGGTGTCAAACTGTAATTACGCATGCAACAACAGCTCTTGACTTATTGAACTCACTGAATAATATCGTTGGCCATGAGGCGCTCGTGAATGTTACATAAATGCCATAGGTGCCCAGTATATACACATGGATATAGAAGAGCACCACTGGCCAATTGGCGTCCCGCTTCTTGAACTCCGCCTCTGTGGGAACATCCTTGCTGCCGCTGTTGACTGCATCTGTCTTTGCGTGTCCTCCCATTTTATATAGCCTGTGGGTAACTCAGCAGCAGCCAACTGTCACGGACGCCAGCTGGAATGCTACTAACTCGGACTCCAAGACGGCGGCTTTGCTTAAGCCAGGGGTCCAAGCACGGGGTCCCCGGCGAGCACATGCATATGCATGAGGCGCGGCTAAATATGCGTCCGGAGCGCGTTCTTCATAGCGGGTTCGTATCGTATGCGAAACACTCAAGACTGGTTTATGCAACAGTTTAATGCCCTTTCATTTTTCATTTTTTCTTTTTTTTTTGGTAAGTAACAAAAGCAACGACATAGGCGAGTAGTGTACATATGTGGCATGGGAGCAAGTAGGGGGGAGGGCGGGTGGTCATGTTGTGTCTGGATATTAGGTATTTTGGGAGTGGGAGCGGATGCTTATCTTAAACTTAGGATTAACAAAAACACAGGCGATTAACTGCTAATACTATAGCAGCACTGCGATCCAACACACAGCACTCAATTCTGCATCTTGGCCAGCTCGGCCAGATCCTCGCGCGGCAGATCACGGTCCCCAAAGCCCCAGACCTGATCCTTGTGTGCATACTCATCGCTGAGGAAACGGGTGCCATCGCCACACTTGGCCGCTCGTCGTATAACCATATCCGGGGACACGGATTTACCTGCAGAGCAATGGAAATAAAGGGTATTTATGATCAGTTTGAAATTGTACTTGAGTACAAAATTTGGCTACTCACGACCGCTGGCAATGCCGATGCGAGCGCAGAAATCAATAAAGGCCGTGGTCACGTTCAAGGTGTAGTTGCCAAATTCGCCCGTCTTATAGTCCCAGGGAAACACATGATGATAGTTGTGCCAGCCCTCGCCCATGGCCAGAAACGAGACAATGGGCGCCTCCACGGGTGTGATGTTCCTGTGTACATTAAGTAATAATCCTTAATAGAAACCAGTTCGAATATACGCTGGAAGTTTACACTTACTTGTCGTAGGGCTTGTTGCCATACATGTGCGCCACGCTATTGACGAAGAAGGCCACGTTTAGGGTCCAAGTGAAGCGCATATTAAAGTTAATCCAGAAGGACATCCAGAGATCCTCCTGCCAGAAATACCAGGGCACCAACACGGGCAGCGCAATCGAGCAAAGTGCAAACAATGGTATATAGTATTTGCGCTGGAACATGACCACCGCATCCGCCTCCAAGTCGGACATATCAATCACCTTGCGCTTCTCAATCACCTTCGGATGCGGCGTTAGGAATAGCCAACCGACGTGCGCAAAGAAGAAGCCGCGCTTGGCATTATGTGGATCCGCATCCGTTTCCGAAAACTTGTGATGTATTCTATGATCAAGCGCCCAGGTATAAGCGTCGCGCTACAAGAATGAAACACTAGGATTAGTCTGTTTTTCCTATTGGGGGTCACCAAAGCTGCAAACTGGTTCCGAATTTTAAATCCTATATTTCCTTAAGAACAGAACCTTGAATTAGGCACAATAAACAGCACACGGTAAGAGTTTGGGTATCTCAAATGCAACTAAAACCTCAAAACCTTGGCTCGCACCGAACCATTAACAACCCAGAATTACAATTTTTATGTTTCCTCAAGAATGGAACCTTATATTTAGTTCCAGCTTAATCTGAAGCAGGCCCATTTATCCTATGTTTCGAGCCGAACCACTTTCGACCCGGATTCCGATTTTTATTTCAACGATTAGCATTCCCGTAAGAGATCCAAAGCTTAGCCTGAACTAAACCATTTTTTATTCATTATTCTTTTTAATATTTTTCTTTGAGCGGAGCAAATAACAGCCAAAGCTTGGGCATATACAAAAAGAGTAGAACCATGTTCTTGTTTTAAAGGTTTGGTAAAAAACAATACTCAACTATACAAACAAAGTTTGGAAAAAGTTGAATAAACCAATTCCAATATATTTATAAAAATATACAAATAAAACTACATAAAAGTCTAAAAAAAAATATCTATTTAAAATAAAATGTAACAATTCAGACGGAGCAAAACCATGATTCACAGCTATAGGCAACCAGGTTCACAGATATGAACCATTGACTTTTCTTTCTTATTGCCATGACTTTCACTTACCTGCCCTGCAATAGAGAACATGAAGGCCAACAGGATGCGCAGGAACAGCGACGCAGTGTAGGCCTTGTGCGACCAGAGACGATGGGCGCCCGCCGTAATCCCAATGCCGGAAACCCAAATGCAACCGACAACTGCAATTGGATAGGGAAAACAATACAGGTTAATGGCAAATCAGTTAAAGAGCATTGTCCATTGGCAAATGGTTGGGAATTTGCTGACACTGGCACGCTTGATTTACCCTCAATTCGATGATATAATGACATCGTGCTATATATAGTATCCCACTCGCATAGCGCTGGCTATTTCTATTGGCATGCGTCAGAGCAGCTGCTGTGCCACCTATGTGCTCTGCTCTATGGAAATCGCGTCGATCACTGTTCCAAGCTCATAGATGCCAATTGAATCGTTCGTTAACTTTAATTACGCCTGGTCAAAGTGCGCATCACTTGCTGCTCTAATTGATGTAAGTATCGAGAGTAAATCTCAACCAAAACACTCTTTCAATGGAATCTATTTTATATGTAAAAAAGTAAAGCTTTGTCAAGTTTAGAAAAATTTCTAATCCCATAAATTACCCCATATGATAAGATATACGATACATATATCATGTTTCTAGACTTTCAGCTTAAATGCTATCTAAACGACATTTTTTGCACGTAGTTCATATATTGATGTCGGCCCTATCTGACCACGTTATCATGCAGCTGTCATAGGAACTATCGATCTTTCGGTTTTTAAGCTATCTGTAGAACTTTATCTGAAGAACTTTATAATTGGCATATACAAGCTTCGGACTAATATATCATATAGATCATCAAAAGGGCAAAGACAGCCGAAAATTAAACTTTTGTTAACAAGCAGAAATCTATTTGTTCATAAACTATAAATATCATTATTGTTCCCTTACACAGATTGACATTTTTATTTATGTTAAGATTCATTAGACTTCAAACAAAAAAAATTAAAAAATATAATATTTTATAATTTTTATTTTAATTAAAACGAAAATAATAATATAAACTAATATGGCTGAAAATAAAAATCATTATCAGTCTTTCCTATTACCTAATTCTCAACTATTATTATATATATTTAACGAATAATTAATATTTTTATTTATTTAAGTTGAGATTCTTAAACTTTCAAAGACAGTTGTATTTCCCGAGCTTAAATGATTTTTACTTTTTAATTTTTTTCAATATTTTATGTACTATAATAATAATAACTAATAGTTAAATAAATTTCAAAATAATTAATAATTATTAGTATTATTATAATTATAAACAAAATATTAATTTAATTAAAATTTAATATATAAAAAAAATCATTTATACTAAAGAAAAAATGTCTTTCTCTCAGGCTTAAGAATCTTAACTATGGTTTTTAATTATATTCTACTAAATGTTGGAATGTTGGAAATGTGCATGATAAGTATTGCAGTTATTTCTACTGTTCTTTTTTATTAGTATTTTATTATTAACACAACTGGCCAGTTTCGCTTTTGACGAAATTGATTTTCCAAAAAATGTTGAAAAACAAAGTAGTCAGCCTTTCCAGTTAAAGCACTATTTTTTTTAGCTTATTAGCTTCAAGTATATTAGCGCCATAAATAAAAAGAGTTAAGATTGGCAATGCAACTTGGGGCTATAAATAGTTATAGCTCGGATTCAGATAGAGTGTGCGTGGCTAGCGATAAGAATTACTTTTCGAACAAAGGGAGGTTTTATTTATAAGCTCAGACGTGGCATTCCATAATTTAAAGGCTATAAGAACCGAGCAAGTTGCTAAATATGTTTTGAATAAAAAAAAACAAACTAAAATACAATTAACATATTGTTCCAAGCAATTAAACCGAATCCAGGTAACAATTCAATGGCTCACATATGTTTGTCGCAGGTCAGCTACCCACTCGATACGTATATAAATACAATAGGATTATGCGATACGTACCCCACAGGAATGTGTAGAATTTGGCGTAGCAGAGCAGGTAGAGGCCATAGAGAGCGCCGACGTGCAAAAACGTTTGGGCGCCAAGATCGGGCCATCTGATCTGGGGATTATAGACCACCTCCTCGTCGGCGGACTTCTGCTGTTGTTCCGCGACGAGCTGCTTGGTCTTTGCCTCGTTCTCCTTGTAGACGGCATTCTCCTCGTTAAAGCCTAAATTATCCTCCAGTTCGTCGGCTGGGTCTTTGGTCTGTTTAGCATCTGCGGCTTGACCCCGTCTGTTTTTCAGCTGATTATCCCCAGTGCTGGCCCTGCTGCACACCTCAGCCAGGTGACAGGAGCCGCCGTTGCTCTGCCCGGCAACGGAATCGCTGCCAGCCTTTGGGGGCGTCGGCGTGGATAGGCACATTGTGTTCGCGTGTTTGGTATCAAGTGTTCCTCTCGGTGGTCTGTCGTCTGTAAGTGGAGTTAGCGACATGGATCAGTAACTGACTCGCCATAGACTTGCTAATGGAACTCTGCTGCGGCCATCATTTAATAGCCTATTGATTTGAATTGGGAAATATGTGATTGGGTGTGAAATTTTTTTGTTGCTTGTCTCTCTCACATGCTCACTGCCTACTGCTGCTGCTTATAACTCAGATTCAAGCATGTTTTCTATTTTCTATTGCCATTTATCTGGCCTGTTGTTGATACCTCAAGTTTACACTATTTATTAACAGTATTCTCAACTGGGCCCTGTCGATTTCTCCCGTTTGTTGTCTTATCTAAAGCGGGCTAACTACCCCCCACACACACAGTTTTTAGCTTATCTTTTTATGAAGTGCCCGCTTGTTACAATAAAACAATTCCTCTAAAAACGACAATATCATGAGTGTAAAAAGCTGCGACAGCTCGAGTCGAGTCGGAACTCAAAATTCGTAGGAATATTTTAGGTAGAATTATGTTTTAAATATTACTAAACAATATTCATATTTAACTTTCCATATTACCATCTTATTAAATAGCTTTTGCCATCTGCATACGAAACATATACATATAATATATATATATATATATATATATATATATATATATATATATATATATAATATATACATATAACAGCTTGTTGTTCTCTCTGGCCTCAAATCTATACTATCTTTGCATTGCTTTGGCATCTGTAAGATTTGGTCCACCCAAATATGGTATGGTATACATTTATGCAGGGTATGCGATAGCCTGGCACACTCTTAACTGCAAAATTCTTGATTCTCCTATCTTTGGAGTCGGCATGTTGATTAAAAACGAACATTTCATAATGCTATGACATAACGTTCTATACAAATAAATGAGACAAGCAATAAAAATGATTTGGTTAAGACTGCACGCTAGTGGCTACCCTGTGTTGGGCATATGTATACAGAAAAAAAAGAAGTTAAGAAAATGCAAAAAAAAGCAGGACTGTTCTACGTGTTTTTGTACTATGAACAAGTTATGCTTTAATAACTTTTGTGGCCACTGTTCGATTATTTGATTGATTTATATATCCTTATGGAAATTTGCAGTGCCGCCTATGTACCTAGGCATACAAGTATATTAGATTATAGTTATGAGGATTATTAGGCAGGTTTTATTAACTGCAAATGATGTACAATAATTTAGTATTATATAAGAAATCTGTGGGTCTTTAAGTTTGTATACCCTGTAACTATGGAAAATGGGGTATGATGTATGTAACAGCACAACTAATAAAGTATATATGTATATTTATCAGAACAACGAGCTGAGTCAAGTTAGCCCTGTTTGAACGCGTCGATCTGGGCAACTTTGAGAACTAGAGACTTTAAATTTTAAACAAATAGTCTCCTAAGCTATACGCAAAATGGGCTTTTCAATTTTTTGACGTTATGCCTTCCCTTTTCAAAGTATCGATAAATGAGGGCATAATGTTTTTTGGTTGCGTAGAGTAGATACATTCTTTATAGGGAAGAGCAGCTGTATCGAACTCGAAAACTCCAAAAGCTAGATACTTTAAATTTTGGATATATATTCAACTCCGTCATGCGCAAATCCAGCTTATCATTTTTTTGTCGATATCAATTTCAAAATATCGTTAAAAATCGATTTTCAGAGTTGCATATTTATAATTATATTTTAATCCCTTTCGCTTTCCGTTTTATATAGAGAATTCTTGAAACCAATTTAGTTTTCAATTAAATATATACAGATTTAAGCGATATATAGTCAAATTCTCTGCTTATTTGAGATTTTGTTTCATACAGTGAGTCTTTTAGGCAGACATAAGGCGACCTTCTGCGTGTTACCAATATTACCCACACAAAATTTCCAGTAAATACAGGGTGTAATAAAAACTTAGATGCGGTCTATGTATTATTTTCGTAACAATATAAATCGTTTAATTCTATCAGAAAAGAAGCAAAAAGAAGAAAACGCCTGCTATTTGGGCTGGAAAAATGCATTGTCACTGCAAGCTGAACATTTTTATTTTGGCAATTATTAAAACGCTTATCAGTTACCAAGAAGCAAAACAAATTGCCAGACAATTTCTAATCATGGCAAAAGCCGTTTATGGCCCCTTGCGATAGGCGCTGAACACCTGTCGCAATCCCAACAGGTGCGCACCTCCAACGCAATGACCCAACATCAGGCGAAGTTCATTCAGAGTTTTTGGCCAATTGATAAGCCATCGCTTATCATTGAGCAATTTGTGAGGTGACTCAGCCCGAAGACCACCAACAGGTGTTAGATGACTAATTTACAAACTTGAGTTATGCAAGTGCGCAGTTCTTTATCGAATTGGGCCATTTCTTTGGCCAAAATAGAAGTAGACGAAGCGTCATAAATTCTGACCCTGTTAGATTTTTTTCAACAAAATATTGGTTCCGGTCCTGTAGCTGATAAGATAAGATATGGCGCACGTCTGCCCACTTAAAGCTTAATCGTGTCCATACATCTTTGCACACATTATTTGCCGGCATTGCTCATACGCAGTGAGTGTCCATTGGCGTCTCCATGGCGGGCGACACGCCCCGTTTCGCATTTGCCTTTTAATTAAAATAAAAATGTAGCACATTAGAAGCTTACCCACAGCATATACCAGGCACGCTAATTTGATAAGGCAAGAGACGGACAAGAAAAAGCCGAAGATTTAATACGCTTTCAGATATTTGCCTAACGATTTTGACGATATGTGAGCTAAGTGAAGCTTTGTAAATGGTCAGTTTGATGAAAATTTCTTCGAACAGATTATTTAACTCAGTTTTCAAACGAATCTTCCGATAGATCTATATATATATATTGTTGCGTTCTTATTAAGACCTATTAAGATATTTGAATAAGCAAAAGGTTTTGAGCTAAGAGACAGAAGGACTTCCCTTTTGTTGCTGCTCAAGAATATATATGTATATACTTTATGGGTTCGCAGATGTCGCCTGCTGTGCGTTACACATTTAATGAGACAGTTATAATACCCGCAACAAGGGCATACAAAATAAGGAAGATGGCAAAAGAGAGCCAAGAACTGGAGCTTTCAATGGCAATCAAATAAAGTGGAAACTGTGTGTGTGCCTGTGTGTGTGTGAACGTGTGGCTTAAAGGGTATTGGAACTTGGCTCGAAACTAGGCGGAGTGCACGCTTAAGGAGCGTGTCGCCCAAGTTGTTCAACATTTTTATTGGGCCAACACACGCGAGTCGTCTATGCCAAACGAGGCCAAAGTCCAGCTGGGAGCATGCATAAATTATATTTGATATACAAAATTCATTGTTATTTCGGCTGTGCCACAACGCTGGCCAACACCAATAATAAATAATAATAAACAATTAAAGAGGCCAGCGCCAAACCATCAGCAGCCCCATTGACATTCGTCTCTGAGCGAGTGCACAAGACTTGCCAATTGCCTGACGACGTGCACGTCCCTATCAAAGAACTATAAACAAAACCAAAATAAACAACAACAACAACAACAACAACAACAACAACAAGAAATAGCAAAGAGCACATAGAATTTTAATCCCCATATGTACACACAAGCTGACACTTTTGTCCAATTTCCATTAGCAAATTTATTGGAAATTTTCCGCGCCGCTTATCGAGAGCCCAAAAAAGAACGCACACAAATTTGCTTAAGTAAGCGGAACAACTAGTGCATACCCTGTAAATTCATTTCACATGACTAGAAGTAGTGTAAAAAGTAAACCTGAAATTAGAGAAGACGAACGAAAATTCGCTTTAGGCAAACGAACAACTTGCAGACACCCTGTAAACTGAGTTTATATGACCAAGATTTGTGTCAGCTATAACATTCGGGCAATAAAATTATACAGGGAAGGCTTCCAAAATTATTTAAAAATATTCATATAATTGATAGTATTACCCTAAGCAGAAAACCAGACTGATAACAAGAGGAAAGCAGCGAAAACATAGATCAACAGGAGAAATATAAAGACTGTAAATTATTTAATTTATAAAAATGTTATAACAAATTTGAATATATGTCATAAAAACTACCTCTAAAGAGGAGTTGTTATAAACTACTCGTTTGTACTATAAATTAGTTGTATATGACTAAGATCTGCGCTAGTTATAGTATTTAAAAAAGTAATATATACACAGTACATTTTTAAAAATGTATTACTTAGCTAACAATTTATATACCCTGGTAGAGAGAGAGAGAGAGAGAGAGAGAGAGCTTTGACATTAAATAAGTAGCGCATAGAAAGGGACATCTGCGACATCAGAAAGTATATAGGTATATATATATATATAGGTATATATATAAAGTATATAGTATATTTAGGATCAGCATCAACATACGAGTGTATATATTCAAGTCCGTCTGTCCGTCTGTCTGTTTCTATGCGAACTAGTCTCTCAATTGTAAAGTTTCGTCAATAATAAGTATGTTGGCGTACATATGTTGGTACCGACCGGATCTGAGCAATAAGTGCCATGGAAGTGCCATGGAACGTTCTTGTATGAACAACTTTTTGTTTGTGAAGATATTTTGAGCAAACTCGGGATTTATTAGTTTCACTATGCACTTTATAAATATCTTATCCTCCTCATAAAATAGGAGCAATTGGTAGAAAATTAATTTCTACAAAAACTATATATAATATAAAGCAAGAATCGGTCGATTAATGAAAAATCTATTCTACATCAAAATCTTTAAAAACAATTCTCCTCAAATGTACGTAGAAGGGTATTTAATTTTCGGTGCGACTTTCTTTTTAGTTAGTTTTCAATTTAAAGCTTCGCCAAATAAATGTCAAATTAAAATGCTTTACGTTGAAAAGTAAGAGTATTTAGGAGTATTGCTAAATTTTATCAAAAATATGTATGCAAATTTTGTACAATTTAAATATGCTCCCAGTTATTTGAAGATGTTTATATATACATAATATATTTATAATTTTTATATTTTAATATATATGTTATGCCGGCAGATAAATTTGCAATGAATCACTTTAGATTTTGCTAAAATCGTTTCATTTATTTGAAGTGTGTGGAAACGATCGACTTTTGCGAATAAGTAGAATATATCGTCCCGCCGAACATTTAATACCCTTGCAGGCATTTGCATTTTGCAGATATGTGAG